GAAGGAAGGAAGGAAGGAAGGAAGGAAGGAAGGAAGGAAGGAAGGAAGGAAGGAAGGAAGGAAGGAAGGGAGAAAAAGAAGGGAAGAAGTGTTAGGAGATTTTCAAGCCATTTCTGTCAATAATGTAAACTATTCAGCCACTTGGAAAATTTTGATAGTTCATCAAAAAGTTAATAGAGAATTATTCTATGACTTACCAATTTTTCTGCTAGGTATCTACTCAGGAGAAATGAAAAAATGTATCTACAGAAACATCATTTCAACAATGTTTCTACAGTAGCCAAAAGTTGAAACTCAATGTTCAATGAACAGATAAACCTACCATGTAAAAAAGATACACTAATAGATACAATGAGGAAAATGGGGGTAGTTACCCCCATATGTGTGACTGGTTTTGGAGAGTGATGAAAAACATTTGAAATAGATATGGCAGTTGCATAATATCGTGAATACATTAAATACTACCAAACTATGCACTTTAAATTGATTGACTATATAATATAAATTTCCCTTCAGGGAAAAAAATTACATAGAAATATGAAGGTTTTTTAAAAACAAATTCGCAGCCTTTTCCTAATTTTTTTTATTTTTTATTTTTTAGTTTCTAAATAACTTTTTAAGCCCCTCTACAAATTTAGTATTCACTTTTTATCCAGCTCCTATGGCAAATTGGATTCTTGTCTTGATACTGTTAAAAAATAACCTTCACCCATGAAAAGATAAGTTTCCACTTAGTTTTATTCAGAGACTAAAGATTACTAGTGAATTCAGTATTAAAAATTCAATATCACAGTATTAAAATTTTTTAACTTACTTAATGTGGATCAATGTTTTGCCTGTATGTCAGTGTGAAGGTGTCAGATTCCCTGGAACTGGAGCTACAGACAGCTGTGAGCCGCCCTGTGGGCGCTGAGAATTGAACCTCGGTCCTTTGGAAGAGCAGCCAGTGCTCTTAAATGCTGAGCCATCTCTCCAGCCCAGGAATAAAATTTTCACAGGAAATGTTTTATATTACAGCATCAGTAATAGTTACCTAACCCTGGTGAGATTCTAGCTTTCAATTTGAAAGAACCACTTTTTTAATGTTGGCTGTGTGTGATGATGCTAGCTGCATAAGTCTGATACCCTGGGTATGATCCCCTACAGTTATGTAAAAAACAAAACAAACCTGGATATTGTGGTGAGCATGGGCAATTCCAGCTTCCCTACAGCAAGATATGAAATAGAGATAGGGAATCTCCCAGTTAGTTTGTAGCACATCATGCTACAGCAGAAAAAGAGGCCCTGTAGCGGGTGATGAT